ATATAAATATTTTAATTAACAATTTAATTTATTGACAAATTTCATCAGTCCAAAAATCATTTTTTTTTTTTTTTTTTTCAATACACCTACTTTAATTTTTTATCTTACCAAAATTTTTTTTTTTTTTTTTTAAAAAAATCTAAAATCAAATACATCTGTTAATAAAAATTGCAATTTTTTTTGTTTTAAATTAAATTAAATTAAAATTTCTTACCGTGTTTATGTACTCGACTTGCACTCGCAGAAATATCGGTCGTGACATTAAAATAAGGAATCCATAAATCTTCAATGTTTATATCACCGAAAGTACTGTATATAGTGTGATTAAAATCTTTTCCTGTAAATATTGAAACTACCGGGTAAGTTAGGTCTAAAATTTGTCTATACCACTGAGTCATTTTTTTAGACCATTCCCTCGCTTTTGAGTCACGTCGTAATGTTTTCTCCATGGCCCAAAGGCCACCGACAAATGATCCGATACTAACACCCCCGACCATATCAATGGGAATTCCAGCTCCTAAAACAAATTTTAAAAAAAAATGAATCTTGCGTCTGTGTGTGCGTGTGCGTGTTTATTTATTTTAAATTTTGTTAATAATACTTGTATGGCTTTTATCATTCCTATGTGGGCTGCGCCGCGAGCACCGCCTCCTCCCAACACCAAACCAACAGAAGTCCCAGTTAACCATCTGGCTAATCTTGAAAAATCGGAATGGATATTTGGTTCTGACATGAGAACTTTTTTATATAATTCATTCTGAAAAAAAAAAAACAAATAAAAATTTTACAAAAAAAAAATTTTTTAATGTTAATCAGTATTAATGTAACTTAAATAATAATAATAATAATACTATTCTATATTGAGATCTTCTTGAAAACATTCGTTTATTGCATTTAATGTGGTGATGAGAAGATACCCAAGTTCTGGCATTGAGCCACAGCACCGTATTGCTTGGCCTTTCGGTACTTTCCCGATGAAGAAGTACCAATTCTTTTTGTGTTCTTACGGCTAATCTTTCAACTTCTTTCTCCATCTGAAAATATATGTGTTAACAATATGTCAAAAGAAAATGTTGCAACTTTTAAAATATTATTCCTAAATAAATAGAATTAAGAAAAATTCTTTGATACGCCGCTACCTTTCCTAAATCCGGTCCTTTTTCAGCTAGACCAATTATTAATATGCAATCTGCTTGACGAACGCAACGCTGAGTCCACGGAGTAAGTGAGGCATCGCATTGATAGAGTGCAATTTTATGTTGATCTTCTTGTTGTGCTAACCAAGACGTTAAACGATACTCGTTATTAGGATCCATTATTGTGGCACCTAAAGTTTTTTTAATTAAATCTGACGTCAGTCGTAGCGTTAAACCAATGGCGCAAAGCGCGTGATATAATTCAAATCCAAAAGCTGTTAAAGGCACATCATCAGATATAGGAACTATAGCTACAGTTGAAAAATTTACTTGAGATGGTCGAGCTCCAGCACCCGGATTCAATCCAACTCCAGGATGCCCCTTAGTACCTAAAATTTATTTTAATCACAATTTTTATTATCTCTATTATTATTAAAAATTAAATCCGTTTGATAATCGGTATATTATAGGAAACTTACCCAATAACCTATGACCTAATAAATTAATTAATCTTGTTACGACTATAGGAAATCTTAATTTTATAGCGTTGAAAAGTCCTTCTGGTAATTTTGCTAATTCCGAATCCCTAACAGCCATAACTGTTGTACTTCTTGGTGTCTGCGTGACCATTTCGACTATGCCAACTAAATCACCCTTACCATATTCCCCGACTAATTCTTTTTTCAAATTAGAATGCGTTAT